AAAAAAGAAAGTAAAAAGAAAGTAGAGAAAGTTATGACATCCTTGCAGTAGGATTTAGCTTTCAGCCACAGATATTATCCAAAGCTTCTGAATTACAGGGTAAACTTGGATTGAGGGGATCAAGTTTAGGACCTACAGAAAGTGCCCTGCATACTGTAAGAAGAAAACAGGTGCCGCAGATCACCTCACCTGTCACTTTCAAGATCGTGGTGCCACTTAGGTTTCTCTGCCCTTCTGGATCCACCAGAGTGCAGCTGTACGTCCCCGAGTTGCAGCTCGTAGTGTTTTGGATCCTCAGGGAATACAGCCTTTCCCTGGGGGCCCCTGAAGAGGCCCTCTGCTGATAGTACTCCTGGGGCACCTCCATCCTCTCTGCACTGCCATTTGTGAGCTGTTAAGAAAGAATCATATACAGACTCAGAGACATAGAGGACAGACTTGTGGTTCCCAAGGGGGAGGTGGGTGGGTGAGGGATGGATTGGGAGTTCGTGATGAGCAGATGCTAGGATGGATAAACAACAAGGTCCTACTATATAGAGCCCGGAACTATATTTAATATCCTGTGATAAACCATAGTGGAAAAAATATGAAAAAGAATATATATATACATATGTATAACTGAACCACTTTGCTGCACAGTAGAAATTAACACAACATTGTAAATCAACTACACTTCAATAAAATAAGTTTAAAAAACAAGAATCAAACCACATCATGCTCTACTGCCAGAACCTACAAGCACTGGGCCTCCACGTCAAGGTTCTACCTCTTGTTTTCATAAAATCCATCCTCAGCTAATTGTTTTAAAACAAGATACTGTGTGTGTGTGTGTGATGTCTGGGGGAGGAGGAGAGAATCTAGGAGAATTCTTTATGGCTCCATCCTTTTTAGAATAAGATCAGGACTGCATTTTACGATTCTCTGTATCCCTATATGAAGGAGAGAGTGTCCCTATGGATGATAACCGTGAGTCACTGACGACTGTGTAATGAAGCGTATGAATCACACTGAATCACACTCTCTTGCTGGTTGTTCTCTATTCGATGTTCTCTTGTTTTCTTCAGATACCAACTCACCCACTGACTGATTCTTATTTTTGTAGCCCGGCCTTTTATTTGGAAACGTTTCTAAATCTGTTAAGGTCATTGCCAAACAACTCAACAGAAAACACAGAGATGCAGATGAGCAATGCCTCTCATGAAGTCACCGTGTTCTTCAGAGACTGCGTACCTGTGGGGTCATCTGTGACGCTGCAGGATGTACCACGCTCACGCCTCTGCTAAGGCAGGAAGACAGCTGACAACAGCGCCACGTGGAGATTTTGTGTGTCAGGTCACTTGGTAGTAATACCATGATATACATGGAAGGGCAATTACGGCTTAAATCATTGTACCCAGGATGGACCAGCCCAGCTGGGGTAGATGCCAAATTTAGCCAAACTAACCTGGCTGGTTTTCTTTCCCTGAACAGTCTTTGCAATTAAACTGGTGGGGTCTTTCCATCATCTCCTACTTCCACGATTAAGCACACATCACGTTCACCATCAATTCCCTTCTTCCCCAGATGTATTTTTAATTTGTCTAGTTAACTTGCTCGTTGATCCTCCACTGAAATGTTTTAAAGTTTCTAAAACTCATTTACATAAACAGTAAAGCCAATCACCGTTTTCAGTGTGCAAGGGCAGCCCCGAGCCCTTTGCTGGGTGGCTGGAGAACAGCAGGGAGCCTGGGATTCAGTGGCATTCCTTCCCTGTCCCCAACGTAGTGGCCGCACCAAAGGGCCCCCTTAGGAAAAGACACCGTAGTCAGACACTGCTGCTGTCTTTGCCTGCACCTGCAGATCTCCTGTACTGGGAGCACCCTACAACTCCTCTCCTACTTTTCAAAAGGCAATCAGCACAGGGAAATAAATAACCAAGGAATGGGGGGAACACCCAGTGAGGCAGAGGCAGCCCAGGACAGAAGACATACATGCACATACACACACACACCCTCCTTGGTTTCTGCTTCATTTATTAAGTCGGGGAATGCACCTTGAGGAAAGCTCAGATTCCAGCTTCCACAGCTCGGGTTCCTATTGGCATTC